ATTCATAACCACTACACTACCATAACTCCATTAGATGAGAATAAACATAGAATCCACTTTTGTTCATTTATACATTAAGATATAACTTAATTGCCTGGAACAAAATGTTGAATGAAAGAATTTCATCAGTTAATAAACAAATAAATGTCAGGCTCCCATGCCATCTCAGAAGTTGGGGAGCATCAAGGTTTTCTAGTCAATATGAAAAATAGAAGTGCTACCAGACACAGAGAAATCATTCAGTCATAAACAAAGAAATCTGATTACCTAATTTATATATTATTACCATATTTATTATTACCATATATATTATTACCATATATTATAATTTCCATCGAGTTAAAATAGTTGAAAAACCCCAGTTAGTACCTAGATGGTAGTAACCTAGTAAATCAGAAAAAATCAGAAACCTAGTAAACAAATAATCTGGTATGACATATTAGAATTATAAACATGTTAAAAATGGTTAAAGAATGCAGGTTAAGTTATTAAGGGCCACTGAGCTGTTTCTGATTCATAACAACCCTATGTAAAATACAACAAAATACCACCCAGGCCTACGCCATCCTCTAATGCATAAAAGTAGGCATTATAATTGTTAATATAAAACAACATTCCAGAGTCTACTACCTTAATCAATCACTTTGCAAAGAAGGAAACAGATAAAAGAAATTCAAATTATTTACCATACATATCACCATTGTGATCATAAAATGGAGGAGATGTAGTAGATATTCCATTTCTCTTTGTCCATCCAAGTAGCAGACTCTGATTCTGTGTCATAGTACACAGCCCATCCTCAAAATCACATCTTTCATAATTCAAACCTAATAAAATAAAAAAAGAAATTATCTTTCTTTTTTTTGGCTTCTTCAGAAAGAAGACAATAGTAGTAATAGAAAGCTTAATAAATGACAACTATATATTATCATAAGGATTTCATTTGCACATTTTAAGTCTATTTCATTAAGACAAAGCATTTTTGCATATGACATTCTGATAAATAACCACACACAAAACCAATGTGGTCATATGGAATGAAGGCCACACAGGGTCAGAGAACTAAAGACCTAATCTTGGTTTTTTGCCTCTTATTAATTGGATGTCTTAGGCAAGCCACTCAACCACAGCAAGTCCTTTTTTTCACCACCATGATTATAATAATAACATGCTTCACTGATTTCCTGGAATATTTACTATGAAAATCCAATGATACCATGTTTATAGAAATACTTTGAAAACTCCATAAAACATAAGGGAATATTATTAAGTATTATAAAGGTGATATTTTTTACTGAACGTCGATATGCCTGTCATCCAGGAATATTGGAATTTCAGGGGTAGGCCAGAGCAATTCACTAAGGCCCTTCTTACTGAAGCTTAGCCATGGGTGTCCCTGGAATTAAACACAGAACCCAAATGTAAATCTCAATGCACTTGAAATGCTGGGTGCTTATATCACAACAAAGACAATTTCCTGCACTCTTTTCCTTTCTGGGCACATGTGATCCAAGAGGAAAAGGAAGACTAAAGGAATTTGGGTAGTTGGTTGTTCATAACAACCAGGTCAAATAGACTTGATTCCATTATCCAACATCTGCAAATGTCTCTTCCTAAAACTTGGAAAACCACAACCTATAATGATATTCTCTGGGACAAGTATCTAACAATTAGCCATACCTGATCACAAAACAGAGGATGCTTAACTTCCAAGCTAAATCTTTACATAACTGCCAAATTATATCGTTATGTAACTGCCCAACTACTTAGTGGCATGGTCCAATCAAGTTAACGCTTGTTTTTAACCATTGCAGCCAGTGTAACTCTTGCCTCTTATCTTGGTATTGGTTACTGCTATGTATACACTGCAATGCTAACAATAGCTGGATAGCAGATTTTTTACCATTGTTGTGAATGTGAAATGTTAGCTAACAAGATGCTGAGAAGAGAGGAGCAAGTTTATTGTCAGACAGAATAGACATCATTCTTCCAAATACAGAGAAATTTGATTGATTTATGAATCATGCTGTTTAGTTGTCATCTCTGATTTATGATGCCTTTACATAAAACAGAATGAAACTTTGCCTTGTCTACACCATCTTCAAGATCATTGACATGTTTGAATTCATTGTTGCGATTGCTGTGATGATGTAGTAACTTCCAACCTAGGGGACTCATCTTCTAGCACAATACTGAACAATATCCTTTTGTGATTCATATGGTTTTCATTGGTTAATTTTTGAAAGTAGAACACGAGGCCTTACTTCATAGTTTGTCTGAGTCTGGAAGCTCTGCTGAAACTTGTTAATTGTAAGTGACTCTGCTAGTAACGGAAATACTGGTGACATAGTCTGATGGTAGTGGCTATGAATCGTGCCATAGGCAAATTTACAATATTCATCATTGTTGTTTTTGTTAGGTGCAAATGAGTTGATTCTGACTTATAGCAAGCTGGCAAAGGGTTTCTGATGCTATAAATCTTTGCAGAAGAAAAATCCTCATCTTTCTCCCAAGAAGTAGCTGGTAGGCTTGAATCACCAACCTTGTTGTTTGTAGTCTGTTGCTTTTCCTACAGAGGCACCATGCTCCCCACAATTTATATAAATCTTCTAAAAATATTCAAAATAGCTGGAAATTCCCAACCATTCCCTAGTTAGACAACCCAGTAATCCAGAAAGTCTATTTGAACAAAAAATAAACTAGATACAATCAAAAAGTACTATCCAATTAACTAAGCATGTGTTTACATAAATATATGTCCATTTTCAAGTTTCCAATAATTTTGCAACAACCTATTTATGATTATAACATATTTATTAACATGTAAAATATATTTATCATCATATTCCAGCAATTATGTCTATGAAAGGTACACATTCACACATATATGTCAAACATGTTTTCATAGCAAGAAATTACCTTGCAGTACAATTACTAAGCTGACTAGTTGACATCTGTTTGCAATGTTCTTTGTTCTTTTTAACACAAAAAATGATTTCTGGAAGTGTTATAACTATAAAAACAGCTAAATAAAATATTTTCCCCTCTGAGTAGTCTCAACAGGGGTTCTTTTTGTTATGATTCTAATGAGCATATATTTTCAGCTAATTCTTAAAAAAGAAAACAATTGTGAACTTCTAATAACTGTCGGATTATTCAAAAATGCATGAGACAGTTTTCTAAGTATTCATTTATCCCTTAATAGAGAATTATACATTTTTAAACTAACTGAAAAACTTTCTTTGAAGTGTGGCTAGTTTACCTTTTAATTCCATATGCCACCTATCCACATTCAAGCATTAAACTATTTGATATAATAAAATCAGTCACTATGGGTCAGAACCAACTCGATGGTACTTAACAACAACAACAACATAATAAAATCTATCACCATGCAGATTTCTAACAAACAAAGAGCAAAACTATTGCCATAGAGCTGGCTCCAACTCATAGTGACCCCATATAGGGTTTCTGAGACTGAAACTCTTAACAGGAACAGATAGGTTCAGTTTTCTCCCACACAGTGGAACAGATCATCAACTGCTCATATATAATGAAGTTGAAGAAATTTATAATAAGTCCACAGAGTGAAAATATGTCTTTGAAGATATCCCACCTGAATTTAGAGATTATTTGAAGAACAAATTTGATGCATTAGACATTAAAGACCGAAGACCAAAAGAGTTGTGGAATGACATCAAGAACGTCAAACCAAAAGAAAGCAAAAGATAATTAAGAAGACAAGAAAGAAGGAAAAGACAAAAATGAGTGTCAGAAGAGACTCTGAAACTTGCGCTTCACTGTAAAGATGCTAAAGAAAATGGAAGAAACAAGGAGATAAAGAACTAAATAGAAAATTTCAAAAACCACCTCTAGAAGACAAGGTGAAATATTAAAATGAAATACGCAAAGACCTAGAGTTAGAAAACTGAAAGAAAGGAAACTATTCAGAGTTAATCAAGCTGAAGGAACTGAAGAAAAAATTCAAACTTTGCCTTCCAGCACTAAAGGATTCTATGGGCAAAATACTGAATGATGCAGAAACCATCAAAAGAAGATGAAAGGAATACACAGTCACTGTACCAAAATGAAATGGTATGTGTTCAACCATTTTGGGAGGCAACATATGATCAAGAGGCAATGATACTTAAGAAAGAAGTTCAAGGTTCACTGAAGGCATTGGCAAAGAAGAAGGCACTGAGGATTGATGGAATACATATTGAAATATTTCAATGAACTGCTGAGGCACTGGAGACACTCACTTAACTAAATCAAGAAATACGGAAGATACCTATCTGGCCAAGTGACTGGAAGAGATCCATATTTGTGCCCATTCCAAATAGAGGTAATACAACAGAATTCAGAAGTCATTGGAAAATATTACTAATATCACATGCAAGTAAAATCTTGCTAAAGATAATTTTAAAAATGGCTGCAACTATATATTGACAGAGAACTTCCAGTGGTTCAAGCTGGAATCAGAAGAGGACATAGAATGAAGGATATCATTGCTGACATCAGATGAATCTTAGTTGAAAATATAGAATACCAAAAAGATGTTTACCTGTGCTTTACTGATTACATAAGGATTTTCAATTGTGTGGATCATGACAAACTATGGATAACATTTCAGAGAATAAGTACTCTAGAACACATAATTGTGCTCATGAAGAACCTGTACATAGACCAAGAGGCGGTAGCTCGAATAAAACAAGGGAACACCAAATATTTTAAAATTAGGAAAGATATGTGCCAGGTTTGTATTCTTTCACCATAGTTATTCAATCTGTATGCTAAATAAGTCATCCAAGATGCTGCATTATATGAAGAAAATTTGGCATCAGGATTTGAAGGAGACTCATAAATAACCAGCGATATGCAGATGATACAATCTTACCTGCTGAAAGCAAAGACGACTTGAAATACTTACTAATGAAGATCAAAGACCACAGTCTTCAGTATGGGTTGCACTTCAACGTAAAGAAAACAAAGATCCTCACCACTGGACCAATAAATAACATCCACATAAGAGGATAAAAGACTGAAGTTGTCCAAGACTTGATTTTGTTCAGAACAACAATTAACATTTGTTGAAGCAGCAGTCAAGAAAACAAATGATGTATTGCATTGGACAAATCTACACAATATATCTTCAAAGTGTTGAAGGGCACAGATGCCAGTTAGAGGACTAAGGCCTGGCTGACCCAGGCCATGGTATTTTTAATAACCTCATATGCATGTGAAAGTTGGACAATAAATAAGGAAGACTTTAGAAGAATTGATGGATTTGAGTTATGGTTTTACAGGAGAATATTAAAAGTACCATGGACTGCCAAAAGAGCATACAAATCTATGTTGGAAGAAGTGCATATACAGAGTACTCCCTGAAAGCCAGGATGACCAAACTTCAATTCTCATACTTCAGACATATTATCAGGGGGGACCAGTCCCTGGAGAAGAATATCATGTTTGGTAAAGTGGAGAGTCAGATAAAAAGAGGAAGACCCCCAACAAGATAGATTGGGCACAGTGGCAGCAGCTATGAGCTCAATCCCAGCAACGACTGTGAGGTTGGCACAGGACCAGGCAATATTTTATTCTGTTGTGCATAGGGTTGCTATGAATCGGTACTGATTCAGTGGCACCTTATCACAACAACAATGCCCAGGATATCGATTTTTATGTTTCCCATTTCATTCTTGACAACTTCCAATTTTACTAGATACATATTTTGTACATCACATGTTCCAATTACTGATGTTTGTTACCTTAGTTAGACAGTGTGCTTTCTAGAAATTTGTCTTCTAGGTTTTTAAATTTTTTGGAG